AATAGAGTTCATTTCAAAAGTTATACTATGTACTCCTCAGAGTATATAATATGTAGCAGATAAATTTTTTTGCAGCAATTGTAAAAATATTTTTCCCTTACAATATTACCATTAATAAAACACATTATTCTCTGTATTTTTTATGCTTCTTAATTAGAACATAAAAGGTAAAACCAAGCCAAAAACAAGCTAAAAGTGTTTTGAATTTTTTATTCGAAAAATCAATGATTGTTTTGGTTTTTTTTTAGGGGGTGGAGGGAGAGAGTATAGCAAATACCGCTGCTTCTATTTATAGAAAAAAATATTACCATTGATATAATAAATTTAATAAGAAAATATAACATGATAAATAATAACTTCAATAATAAACTATTTAAAAATTAAAAATAATAGTGTAATAGTTAAATAATAATTTATTATTTATAAACTGGAAATCAAAAAACACCTTTGCTTAACTCAAGGGATTTCTCAAAGGTTTCATATAAAATTTTCAATTTTTATGTACATAATTAGCTATTTGTGTTAATTACTTCGCAATATTTGTTGGGAGTCTATTCAAACTCTGAAAATTTTCAAATAGTCCCTATAATTTTCAAACTATTAAATTATGCTCAAATTATATATTTTATATAAGGGCCTTTATTCTGTCATGTTACATGAAGGAAATTCCTATCATGCAACACTAAAAGACAAAAAAATAATAATAAAAAAATAAGATAAGACACTTTGTTCAATAATTTTGTTTTATCTTATCTTAACATAACCAAATTATTTTTCTTACAACATAACTCTTATTTATCCCTTTATATAATTATGGTTTTCTATTAACACAATAATTTAATTTTAAATTTTTTATAAGGTTATTTTTTTTTAGATAAACCACAAATGTCTTTTGCGGGAGACAATTCTCTTTAGGGTGAGTTCAGAATTAAAACTTTAAACCTCTCTCAAAGATGATACTAGAGAGAATCAAACACATGCTCTCACTTTTACCTACTTAACTCCCAGACATCAACTGAAATACCATCTGGATTGGACCATTTAGGCTCTATGTCTGGTTCAATATCCATTTTCCCTATAGGACAAAATGTTACCTTCATCAAATTTCACAATCACACTAAAGGACCACTTTTTAGTGTGATTCTTTGCACCTCATGCCTGCAAAGCAACACCTCCACACCAGACACTTACCACCTATATAACTAATGTCCTACTCCATTGCAAATAACCATTTCACCCTCAGTCCTCAGATATATTGAAACTCTGTTGTACTCTATTTTTTATATTTTATTTTTTTGAACATGGTTGCACTCTCTATTTACTCAACCCTTTATAGGCCTTCGCGCACCACCTCTCCATAACCACTTTCACCTTTATACAACTAACTCGCCCCCATAATCGGGTTGTTGATCATCTTACATATTAAATTAGAGCATATTTTGGGTACTACGGTGGTAGGGGTATTAACGGGCCGAGCCGAGTCAAGCTTTGATTTTAAAATATTAAGCTTGTATTTAAATGTGTCAGCCTAACTTAACTTGTTATCTGTTATGAATATAATTATCGGCACATGGCCTGTCTTATTTATAAAAATAAAAGTTTGGTTTAGCCTGTTTAAAAAAAATAAGACTACAAAAATTTATTCAAATAAAATATATGATCCACAACACTAATAATTTCACAAAGATTCATAAATTCAATGTATATCCAAAAAGCATAATATAGAACAAAAATATTCAAAAAAATTTGTTTAACCAATAAAATGAGATGAAATGGGTTGAAGAGAGAGGACTATTATGAATAGTATAAAAAATATAAAATAAAAATAAAAGTTAGTATACTAGGCTAGCCTGAGAGACTCTAAGGCTGAACTTTTGAATTGGAGCTTGAGACCTTCTTATTAAACAAATTTTTATACAAGTTCAAGTCTGCTTCCAATAACCAAATTAAGACATATAAGCTCAGGCCTTCATGAGCCGAGACAACGGCCCTGATTCGTTTAGTACCCCTATACGGTAGCATCAATCAGTGGATGCGACATTGATATTTATACTGTGTACTATCGGTAATACATAGTGTAAATACAATAGTATTCTTTTCTCTCTTTCCAGTATTAAAGCAGGTGATATGGTGTGCTCTTATTATTGGTTTGCTGTACATACATCGGTAGTATGCTAGATTTTTTTCCTTAAATTAAAGCTAAACATATTTCTTTTGTTTTTTTTATTATAGAGCATATTGTTTTTAAAAAATCAACTTTGAATAAAAATTATTATTATTTGATTTATAAGGTGTTACAACATATTCGTATAATAACTAGATTTTGTATTTAAACTAAGGGCTTTATTTCTCTCATTTCACGTAAGAGAAAACTTGTTTCCTGCACATAGAACAAATGGTGGGATCCACTTTATTAAAAAAAAGCATGAAAATCGAAATGAAAGTTGGAGAAATTTTTTTTATTATATGAAATGAGAAAATAAAACCCTTAAACTAAACACTCTGCAGAACAACAGACGACAAGTAGCCGAGTCACAACATACTTTTTTGTTTTGAGTGATGTTTGATAATCAATGCACAACACAAGTAGTTTTGTGTTGCATGTCATTTGATTTACACAAATATTGGCTAGAGCAATGTGAAATTGATTACATTACCCTTTGTGTGTCCTCTTTATTTTTACACTACGATTCTAATGAAGTCTAATCAAAATTAATGAAGGTAAAATTTTGTTGTAGATTTCTATACTTCAAAAATTTACGTCAGTGCATTATTATACTAAATAATCTAAGGATGCTTTAATATGATTCACAATGGTTCATCCAGTATGCCTATTCCTAGCATTTTACAAATTGAGTAACACGAAGAAAGCAAGTGTGAGAAATTAAATAGTAAACAAATTTAATTACCAAAAATAAAAAAAAAATTAGTTAACAAATTTATCAAATGTTCATATAAAATAATAAGGAAGGATCTGTTTACAAATTTTTTTTGAAATTTTTTACAAATTACACTATGTTCTCTCGGAAGAACGTAGTGTAACCCGTGTTCTCCGGGAGAAGATAATATAATTTGTAAGAGTTTATAAATAAAAAAATTTATAAAGATAACCTGCCCCTAAAATAATTCCTAAAATAATTTCAATATGCATAGTACAATTTCTGCATACTTTTTTGGGCTATAAGGAACCCACTTGAAAGTGCATCTAAAATCCTAAGTTTGTGGACGAGGTGTTCATGTTCGGATTGCCCGCAATATTACACGAGTTCTATGACTCAATTGGTGTTTTTTCGATTAATAAAAACAATGAGAAATGTTATACTTACAATCTTTTTTTTTTTACAACCTCTTACAATCATATATCATAACCATTGATTTTCGTCAATCAACGATTGTCATTTATTATGAATTAATAATTAATTAATTAATTTAATTTGCGAAAATTATAACCGTTGATTGGCGGAAATCAACGGTTATGATATATGGTTGTAAGAGGTTGAAAAAAAAGGTTATAATTATAACCTCTCCCAAAAATAATTTGGGCAAATGAAAAAAAATATTTTTACACCCCCATGGCATATTTTTTCTTTTTACTTTAATTTTTTTTTTCATTTTTAGAGTGCCGCGATCCCATTCTTGCAACATATATGTTAGACCTGGAGGCTTAGAGACTAAAAAAATAGGTATGTGGTTAATATCTAAATAGGTCTTTTAAGGTGTTCAAGCTAATACTATGTCTAAAACACGTCAGACCAAGCCAGGGCTAAGGCAAATCAGGTTGTAGGCATTTGACAGACTACCTAATTCATTTACACTTCTACATGTGGGATTGGGGAACTGACACCCCTCATTGGGAATTATTTTTCCAACCATACCAAATGGGTGAAATAACCATGATTTAACCTTGGATGAGTCAAGCAGCGGACGAACTTATGTTACACTACATATCTTTTAAGTTTAATGTAATTTAAGACAAAAATGAGTGGGGCAATTGTGTTTCCTAACTCCTCCCTGACTCCACCACTGCATGGAAGTGGGTGAATTCAGTGAGGATAAAAGGGAGACAGAGAAAAAAAAAAAAAAAGATCCTATTCATTTTCATGTATTTGCATGAAATAATTTTTTGTATCGCAAGAAATAAAATTATCATTTATATCTCCAAAATATCTCTCACATTAATTTATTCACCTATTTTTGGTAACGACAACAACCTTAACGCATATTTATATTAATTAAGCCAAATAGTTATAATTAATCACTCAATAAACTTCTCTAAAGAATTTTTAAAAAAAATGAGTTTATCTGTAAAACCATATTTATTCATGAGTTTTTATATTAGTTGATTCTAGTGATAATTAATTAATTAAATTTTTTATAGAGAATCAAAAGTAATATTTATTTTAAAATTTTAATAAATTAAGATTACGCTAATTTTAAATTAAAATTAGAAGTGAATATACTCTTATTTATTCATTTATTTTAAAAATAAATCTTCTTATAAATTTTTGTTTTTTTGTTTCTTTCTAAAATCCTATTATCGAAAGAGAAAGTAAAAGGCATGGAATACCATATAAATACGAGGAAAATGAGACAGAGGGGCCCTTTGAGTTATATTGTCGGTGGAAAATTAATTAGAAGTTTCCGGCCTATTAATTTTTTTAGGTCCCACTCACAATCAAAAAAAAATTTATCATTTTATTCATGATTTTTCTTTCATTTTTCCTTTTTATCCCGAGAAGGAGCACCTACAAATTCGGGCCTAGACTATAGAAATTCTTCCCTTGTCGGTGAGTTTATCATTTGGTTTAAATAGTGAATTTGAGATTAAGTTGCTGCAATCAATTGTTTTAAATTTTGTATAAAACGTAACGGGTTTGGAAGATACCGACGTGGATGGTTTACGCAGACGACCAGGTGAATGGCCAAGTCACACGAGGCTGAGTAGAGTACCATTCGTATTTCACCAAAACCCCACATTACCCTTTTGATTTTTTTTAATCCTCATGAAGATTCACTCTCTCGCTCTTTTGATTGAGAGAGAGTAGAGAGTAGAGAGTAGAGTGTTTGGTTTTTGCAGAGATGGATGGTGACGGTGATGGTGAAGGAGGAACCACAAGGAAGAGAGGAAGAGAGGGCGAGACGACGAGGTACAGAGGAATCAGGATGAGGAAAGGGGGCAAGTGGGTCGCTGAGATTCGAGAACCCAGAAAGACTTCCCGGATTTGGCTCGGTTCTTATTCCACGCCCATTGCGGCGGCGCGTGCTTTTGACACCGCCAGCTTCTATTTCGGGAAACCATTGGATCGCCTTAACTTCCCGCAGCTTCTGGTCGGAGAAGGTGGCCCCGCCGGTTGCGACATGTCGGAAGCTTCTATTCGGAAGATAGCCAGGGACGTCGGTGCCGGAGAGGATGCTCTCCAGGCCATCCTCCACCGCCAGCATCCACACGTTTCCGCCGCCGCCGCAGCCGGGGAATTTGCGGAACGGGTTGACCTTAGTAAGATAACCGAACCCGAGATTTCGGATTGTGTCAAAGACAGGGATTAGAAGCTTTTTGTCTCTCTTCTTCCCTACTGTTAGGGTGGTTGCTAACATGCGCCGTGGAGGTTACGGCTTGAAGCAAGGAGATGTCGATGTTGAGTGAAATCCTATCGTGTCCTTACGTGGATTAGTGCAATTTCAAGGAACAGTGGCCTGCGATAAAAAAATTATCACTACGCATCAACAGTAAATTTTGGCAAAATGTCACGCGCCATCATTCGCTCTACAATATAGCGAATTATGCATGCAAGTAATTCGCTACACAATATAGCGAAATATGTCACGTCAGAACCAAAAATGCCACATGTCAAATTTTGAGAAATTCGCTACATAGTGTAGCGAATTACTTATATGCATAATTCGCTACACAGTGGCATTTTTGGTTCTGTGCATTCTGACGTGACATATTTCGCTACATTGTGTAGCGAATTACTTATATGCATAATTCGCTACACTGTGTAGCGAATTATGCTGCGTGACATTTTGATAAAATTTACTGTTAGCGTGGCAGTCTAGTAATTTTTTTATCCAAACGTGACACTTTGATCATTATCCCCAATTTCACAGTGAAATTTGGGGCGTTGTAAAAATTTTAAATGTAAATTACCTAATCATTATTGTTTTTCTTTAAATTTTTTATGATGCTTTTTATTTTTGTTTTGTTTTATTTTAAATTTTAATTGCCGACTCTTTCTGAGATTTGAGTTTTGTTGGGTTGTGAAGAGAAGAAGGGAACATTGGGAGGGAAAATGATGTGGACACTGCTCTGTTTCGATGATAATGAGGGTGATGGATGGAATAGGTCTGTTAATTGGCTTTGTTGTCTCAGATTTGTCCGGTGAAAATATGCTAACTTATATTAGGCTGTCTCAGATTTGTCCGGTGAAAATGGGTTAACTTATATTAGGCCAAATAATTGGATACAACATGTTTAGGTTTTAAAAAAAAAACATATTTAAAAAACAGGTGATTATTTTATGGGTTTTATTAATGTTATGTTACATAATAAGTTTTGTTTCCAACAGATACAACAAAATGGAGAGAGAAAGTAGAATAATGAAAGAGAAAGAAAAATATGTGGACCCTACCTTTTTAATGTGTGTGTAGGAAAGTGAAGTTGTATTATGTTACATGATAAACATGAAACCCTTATTTTATATATGTCGGATCTATAAGTTTACATGTTGATTTATATCACATTTTTGTTTTAAAATAAATTATTATTTTAATACTTTTGAATAATAAAATAAATTATTTTAATTATTTTTTGAAATTATTAAATATTTAATAGATTTAAATAGGCTTAAGCTAAGATTTTTATATTTTAAATATAGGTCAGGTCAAATTTGTAATTTCGGTCTACACAAGCTAACAGGCTAGATCAAGCTTGACTTATTTAAACCAAAACCTAATTTAGTCTAGTCTATTTATACCCCTTTGTGTAATTGAGTCACAGGGACCTATGGTGCACTGACACGGGACACGACACGCAGACACGTTAATTCTAAAAAATGTCATATTTCGACACGTTGGTACACATTTTGATATTAAATAATATTTTTAATATATATAATATAATTTATATTTAATACATATAACTGCCCATAATAAGTAATATAAACAATCAAATATTCAAATTTCATAACAAAAATATAAAAAAAAAATAATTTTTCGTACCTTGTTAATTTTTCATGTCAAATTTTATAACAGAAAAAATTGATTTATAATTTTTTTATGTTTAGTTAATTAAATAAAATAGGATACCAAAAAATAAATAAATAAATAAAATTTAGACCTAAAAAAAACGTGTCGGAACGTTGACCGCGTGTCAGAAAAGTATGTCAGAGCGTTGACCACGTGTCGGACGCGTGTCGAAACGTGTCGATGTCCGACATGTGTCCGACAGGCACAAATTTAAAAAAAGTGTCTGTCCGTGCTTGTTAGACAGGGACAATAATTTTGTCGAACAAATATAAATCAGAAAACAAGAAAAATGAAAAGAAACAGACAGCGTAAGAAGGAGGGACAAATCTAAAGTACTACTGTAGCACCGAGTGCTCAATAATACTTCCATCCAAATTTTGACATTTGTATTATTTTTCCATGTCATCTTTCATACATGGCACTAATATTTTAATTTTTAATGCTTTTTATTTAAACAAAAAAATTGATAGTTCTTTTCCTGTAACTCTCGCCAGCTTTTTTGCCTGGTATGCTATCTTTTTTCTCTTATTTCAAGTTCCTCTGTATTTTCTTTCATATTTCTTGCATTTACTTTTATTTTTTGGAAATAAAGGCAATAATTGGAAGATAAAAACACTAAGAAACTTCATCCTAATTTCAGCTAATACTAGCTAGTATGGGGGAAACCATTCCAATGCAGTCCTTCGTGAGCATGTCGTAGCAAATCTCCGTGGGTGTTGGCTGTTCTTCCAAATGGGGAGTCACTAGGAATTCTCGCTGATACTACGAAGCATTGTGAGGTGTTGTTACACTTGGCTTTATGTCATTTATTGAGGTTAACCTTGAAGGGATATTTATGCTATCTGTTTAATGGTTGTTTGTTTTGTTCATAAGCAATCGCTCCATCCACATATCCTGTCATTGCATTTAGTCCTTTTGCTTCAACCACGAAAGTTTTGATATCTCTAGATTAGCAAAGCAATCTTCCATCTTTTTTCTCTGTTGATTATCACCCATTGAAGATTGATGCAGGGAACTCAACTTCTCAACCAAATGGAAGTTCAGGTGCATAAAGTATTAACTTATAGGAACATTTGACTATTATTGAAACATGCAAACAAGTATTTATTTTTTGTTTTGGCTTTATGGTTCTTGTTGCCAATTTTAAAAGGGTTCCTAAAATGCTGTTAAACATCCAAAGAATTAGAGAATTTTTTGGCTTTATGGTTCTTGTTCCCCTGTTCTTTTTTTTAATATTCATTTTTTTTTTGGTTATTTGAGTTGTAGTTGTCATCTAGTGAAGTGAGTATTTAAGAAAGTGAACATGATGCTGAACAAACAAAGATGCCATTGATTGTGACAAGAGAAGAAAATGGATATGAGCCAAAAATTGGAATGATATTTTCATCTGAAGATGAAGCTTATAAGTTCTATAATGAATATGCTAAATTGACTGGTTTCACTGTGAGAAAAGCACAGTATCGAACATTAGCAGATGGGACCATAAGCCAAAGAATATTTGTTTGTGGAAGAGAAGGATATAGAAGGTTGAAGGATCCTTCACATGTGAAGAAAGTAAATAGGAGAGAAACAAGAACAGGTTGTCCAGCTATGATATGCTTTAAAATTGAGAGGGATAATTGGATTGTTTATAAATTCATTCCCGATCATAATCATGATCTTGTAAAATCATGCGCGCGAGCTATGCTAAGATCCCAAAGACATGTTGATGAAGCACATGCTAAAATGATTGAAGATATGGATAATGCTGGCATAAAACCATGTGGTATGTATTCATATTTTGTTGAAGTTGCAGGAGGACCCCAACATGTTGGATTTTTAAAACATGATTGTGATAATTTTTTACAAAGTAAAAGGAGCAACACTCTTGAAGCAGGAGATGCAAAAAGTGTTATTAACCATTTCAAAAAATTACAAGCAAATGATCCATCCTTTTTCTACACAATGCAAGTTGATCGTGAGAATCGCATGACTAATTTTTTTTTAGAGAGATGGCATATCAAGGACAGATTATAGTCACTTTGAGATGTGGTCATTTTTTACACAACCTACCGAACAAACAAGTATAATATGGCTTGTGCACCTTTCATTGGGGTAAATCATCATAAACAAAGTGTTCTGTTTGGTTGTGCTTTCTTGTTAGATGAGACAACAGAGTCATTCATTTGACTTTTTGAATCTTTTTTGGAGGCAATGGGTGGACTGCAACCTAAAACAATTTTTACTGATCAATGTCAAGAAATGGACAATGCTATTAAGAGAGTTCTTCCTGAAGCTCAACATCGACTTTGTTTGTGGCATATTAGCCAAAATGCTGCTAAGCATCTTTCGTATTATTTGAGACAACCTGACTTTAAGGCTCTATTTAATAGGTGTCTATACAATTGTGAATCTGAGCAAGAGTTTGAAGAAGTGTGGGCACGTTTACTCACGAAAGTAGAAATTTCAAAATGTTCATGGTTGAAAAAATTCTCTGAGTTACGGGAAAAATGGTGTCCAGGATTTAGTAAGAATTATTTTTCAGCTGGCATGTTATCAACACAAAGAAGTCAGAGTATGAATACTATTTTTCGTATTGTAACTTGTAAAACAATGTCTTTTTCTCAATTTGTGCTTCGCTATGAAAAAGTTTTGGAGCATCGACGTTGGTCAGAGCTGCAAAAGGACTTTGAATGCAATCAATCTGCACCTCCTCAGTTAAAAAAACTTGCAGGTATGGCCAAACAAGCTGCACAAGTCTATACTCATGTTATTTTTGAAGAATTCTTTGAAGAACTATGTGAATCTTTATCTGTGGCCATTGAAAAAACCAACGAAAATGGAACTTGCTTTGGTTACAAGTTGGTTAAATCTGGAGATGAAAAATAATATTTTGTGACATTTGAATCTGCAAATTTCTTGGTTGAATGTAGTTGTAAGAAGTTTCAATCGGTTGGTCTCTTATGTCTTCATGCATTGAAGGTACTTAACTTTCACAATATTTTTCATATACCTTCTCAATATATCTTGAAGAGGTGGACAAAAGATGCGAAAGATGGTTTTAATGTAAGTGATAGCATTCCACCCCAAGCTTGTGAGGTTTCAGCACAAAGAATTAATCTACGCATGAGACAAATAATGAGGAAAGCCATTTATTTTGCAACCAAGGGTGCATTGGCAAATGAATCAACCAAAATGGCTGAAGATCACCTTGAGCAAGGGATAAAAATGTTGGAAAGGATGTTAAAAAATACTAGCTCGATTGACCCTTTCACTAGCAAACCTACTGAAGCGAATGATATGACTAGTGATGAAGAGAAGGATGAGCATAGTAAATTAAATAGAAAAAGGGTACTAGATCCAGAACGTGTTCGAGCAAAAGGAGTTACAAATGCTAGAATGAAAAGTCAACTAGAGAAGAAAAGATGTAAGAAATATACATCACAAGCTAGAAGCATATCTCAAGGTGCTATTACATCTAAACCTCTAAGGCATGATCCTGCTGAAAAAGGTTAAATGAATAATATAATTTGAATTTTTCACTTTTTTAATTTTATAGAATCATATTCTTATCGTTATTTTCAAAAAAAATTATATAGGTAAAGCTACAAGTACAAATGCCAAAGATTTTAGCTCATCTTCAACACCTCCCCCTGCTTTTGGTTGTCCATATATCTCTCAAGTGGCAAATGCTAATACTTTTCCAACATTTTATTTTCCATGTATCCCTCAAGTACCATATACACAGGTAGTATTATTGTATTATAATTTTCTAAATATAATCTTACTTAAAATTTGATTTTTCACTTTTCTTTATTGTGTCAAACAACAATTTTTCGGAAGGAACATGGGGTCAGACAAGCCATGATTTTGGAAGATAAATTTCTCCCTGCAAATTGACAGATTCATCATTTTGACCACTGCCATTTCTGTTGGCAAGATCCTGCACATTCATTTATAACAGATCCATTTTGACCACTGTTAAAAACCACAATCTATGCAATCTTGTTGCTGGTGCTGGTGCTGGTGCTGTTCTTGTCCACTTCCTTTTGTTGATGGTGCTGTTCTTGTCCCTCATTTGCCCAAATTGGAGGAGAAAGTCTATTTTTTTGTTGAGGTTTTTTAAAGAAATGTGTTGGTGCTGGGGCTTTTTCTGGTTGCTGGTGGTGTCTTTTTGTTAATGGTGCTGGAGCTATTTTTTGTTGCTGGTGCTATTTTTTTGTTAAGGAGAAAGTCTACATTTCTGTTTATAGAACTGTTGTTGACCAAAGTTCTCAAAGTTAACTTGTGTATTTGGTGTAAATAGTTCATGTTGCAGACATTAAACACATATTTATTTTGGAGCTGATTTTGTGCAAAGTCATCCAATTTACTTTTACAACACATGTTTCAAGTAATTTCAAAAGGACAAGAAGGAAAGAAATAAATTAGGGCATTAAAATAAATAGCAAATAAGGTTTGAAATTGATATTGAATCAAATTGTGACTTGATATTGAACTGGACAAGTAGAAATGACATGATAATCCAAAAAGACTAAAAAGAAGAAAGATAAAACTGCTTGACAAATAGCTTATCAAGTGAATTTTTTTTTCACATAATTCATTATACATTAGGAACGTTTGCACTAGCAACTCATATTCATAAATTCTATTTCCTGCCGACCACAGCTTTCCATTTGATCTGAAGAGACTTGGAAGCTTCAACAAGCTTGTCAGTCTCCATAAGCATCCTTTTGCTCTGTGACACCTTCTTGTAAAGATTCAACCATGTCTCTTTAAGTCGGGAGGTGTGAGCAAACATTTCAACTTTGTACAGAACATCAGCTTCATCTAGTCTAGCTTTGATCTCAGCAAACTTTTGCTACTTCTGTTCTGAAACTAGAGTTGATTTAATAAAATTCAGCAACCAGAATTTAAATACATATCTCACAATTCAAAGCCATCACTAATTCATCCTATGATACAAATAGCTGGCTTGCCAAATTATATCGAATAGTGAAATTCAAATTAGGATATAAGTGTAAAACCCATCCCATAAACACATAAACAGCTCCCCACATGCAGCTGAGCTATACTATAGGCCATCTTGATTCCTTTTTTTAAAATTTCCAGACAGCCATATAAATCAAAATAATTCACTAAAAAAAATACATATTATTCCCAAATTTCAACGCAGAACGAACAATCATATGTGTTATACACTAACACATGCCACTACATGGTTATCACTACTGGTGAATATGAGCAAAATTATTGATACCCATCAAGGGATGAACAAAAAAATTGCAAGAAAAATTTAAAAAAAGAGTTTAATTTCTTTAGTTAAGGTTGGATTCAGAAAACATACCCCATATGCAAGCAAATCTGAAATACCCTATAAAACCCTATTCCAGCAAAGGAAAATCAGTGGGCAATACTGAAAATTTCAAAAAATAAATAAATCAAAATAATGAGAAAGTAAATTAGATTTTAAAAAGAAAAATATATGCGTAGACAAATAGAGAATTTTAAAAGGGAGAAGAACAAATTGGATTTACAGCTATGTTTTTTGGATCAAATGGCAAGAGAGATCTAAACAAGATTGAGATTTTGGGAACAGTGAAAATCATGATGAGGAAAAACAAAGGAATAAGCGCAAGTTTCCTTTTGCACAGGATGAGCTGTAATTTCATAAAAAGCATGGAATGTTCGCTTGGGATAAAAATAACCAATTAAAAGTAAAATAAAAATTAGGGATAAAAATTACCAGTGTAGATCGAGATTTTTCGTACCAGCATAGATTGAGATTATCAAGCAGAGCCTGCTGGCAAAGATGGATTTTTCGGCGAGCCTGTCAAGATCGGACTTGCTAAGGTGGAAGGTGGCAACGAAAAGCTGAAACTGAGAGTCATGGAAGTTGCTGTATGAAGGGAACGAAGTTGATTGCACACGCTTTTGTTAAAATAAAAAACATTAAAAATTAAAATATCAGTGCCATGTATGAAAGATGACATGGAAAAATAATACAAATGTCAAAATTTGGATGGAAGTATTACTGAGCACTCGGTGGTACAGTAGTACTTTAGATTTGTCCCTGAAGGAGGGAAAAATTTAATATGCTCCAGGCCCACTATTTATTCAGTGGTCCCTTTTCTATAAATGGAAAATTTTCTTCCATTTCTATCCCTCTCTTTTTGATTTTTTCCCACTCCATCCCTTCATTTTTTCTATTTTGGAAAAGGACCACTATGATCCAGGCCCACAGAATATCTTCTCCTGAAGGAGATAGATATATATCCAATGTGAAAACAAAATTACAGCTCCTCAGGCTTCCAAAAGAAAAGTCACAGTCCCTCAATTAATTTAAGAGTAAACACCATTTTTGGTCCCTGATAATATCTACGAAATCATTTTTAGCCCCTGGCAATAAAAAAGGACCAAATTGGTCCCTAAAATTATGAAAAAAGGGCCACGTTAGTCCTTATGTCAATTCCTCCGTCACTAACGTGGCCCTTTTTATATACTGTTAGGGATCAATTTGGTCCTTTTTTATTGCCAGGGACTAAAAAGGATTTTGTAGATATTGTCAGAGACCAAAAATGGTGTTTACTCTTAATTTAACAAATATCTTTGCATAGGTTTTCTGATGATTTTCTCTTGGGTGTTACAAATCAAGTGCGTGACTCGGTGTAGAGAAAATTCAAAAAGGATGTTGGTTAAACTATGAGTAAGGTAATTTAAAAAAGGATTTGGTTCCTGAATAGTAATTTGTTAAATATTTTCATAAGTTGAAGCTGATTTTTTTTTTTATTTGAATATGAGCTGTGTTCCATATTTGGTTTGAGAGGATCTATAAACCCTTTTAAGGTGTAGACTAGGATTGGTCCATGATTAGCGGAATTGTATTATGCTAGACGCGAGTATGCCATTGGTTTATGAAAAGCTAAACACTACCATAAATCTTTAAAAACCAATCATCTATTCAGCTCAACTACTGTGCTATATAAAATGATGCGAAGACATATAGGTACACCCATATTAATAGCGGTTGATATCTGAGTGCGGATTGGCTACCACATTGACAATTTTATTTGTCAAGATTAGGAATTCGTAATATACAACACCCGAATGAGTACTAGCAATGTTATTAAACCTGAATCGGTAATTAACTTGGTTAAGGTATCTGGTTAGTGAATCATTGATTTAATCAGTAAATTACTGATTGAATCGCATGACTCGGATAGAGTATATAAATTTAATTTTATAATCAATTATATAATAAATATTTTAAATAATACAAATTAATCAAAAATATAATGTAGCGCAGTGGTAAATACTTGGTTGTATTCAATCCATGACATGGGTTAAACCTCTCCCAAAAATTCACACAATTTGTAAAATATTTCTATTAAATTATATAATTATATAATAAATATATTTAATGGTGCAACTTAATCAACAACTAAATATAGCCTAGTGATAAATGCTATATTTGGTATTCACCTTATACAAGTTAACCTTATACAAGTTAACTAGACCGGTTGATGGACTGGTTTCCGAGCCAATGGTTCGATTGGTGCCGCTTTCACTTTTTAAAATTAAAAAATAAAATAAAAAGAACCATTTAAATACATGCAAAGTCATAATGAGTTCGTGTAAAAAGGGTGCTACTTAGCATTTTCTGCTACGACATATTCGCAAGATGCAAATTCACACATTATTTTCAAACATCATTATCACAAAAGGGACTTCACTCTGTCCACAGTTTGCAAAGGGCAAGTATCCAAGTGAGAAAAGTCATCATTTCTCAGGGACAGTAATGAGTATGATCATTGGTAAATCCGGCAAAATTCAAGATCTCGCTAACTCTTATCCAGTTAGGACATCGACTTCTTGATTTAGTAATAATCATGCATAGGGAAAAACTGTAACTTTGATCTCTTTTAGTTAAATACTCCATGCATGAAATCTAGTAAAGAAAGCTTTCTTTTCGCTAGCTCGCTTAATGTGAAGTGCGGTTCTTACAATTTATCATTTAATGAATTAATTCAACTACAAAATTTAAATTGTTAGTAAATATCCTATTAATAAATTTATCTTCTATTTATCTAACAATTCAGGGGTATGTGTTAGAGAATAATATAAAATCATTAAAAAGACCCTCACCTAACACCTTAAGGTTTTGGGTTGAAGTGGTTCTTTACATGGTATCAGAGCTTCAGTGAAGGTCACGAGTTCGATCCTCATCGCCCCCACTTGTGGAATTAAATAAAAAAAAAAGCACAAAAAGGTAAACCAAAAATTGGGCCTGTGCAATATCCACACTTCAAGCCTAAAGGCTATTGTGTGAGGGGGTGTGTTAGAGAATAATATAAAATCATTAAAAAGACCCTCACCTAACACCTTAAGGTTTTGGGTTGAAGTGGTTCTTTACAATATGTTCAACTCAAGGAGAATAAAAAATAATAATAAAGAACCCAGCAGCATATTCAAGATTGGAGCTAGATCTCATTGAAAGTCTGCAAGACTTAATGAAA